TCAATTTAAGGGATAACAGATAAAAATTTGCTGTCGCTCAGCAAACAGTACAATTAGAGCCTGTTCAGAATGCATACCTGGCTTTAACTTTAACAAGTCTTATTTAGTATATAAATATCATTATCTGAATTTGATATCATTAACATTTTTTTCTTATATTTTTTTTAATTTGAATCGATTTAATACTCTATTAAATCAAGGAACTTATATCATGGTTTTTTTATAAATTTCTTTTACATGTACCTCTCTTTAATAATAAAAAACCACAAATAATTTCAATTTAGACATTTTCCTTTGGTTATAAAAAAAAAAAAAAAAAAAAAAAAAAATAAAATAAAAAATTATGAATTCCCCTTTTCGAAATTTTTTTATTTTTGGAGGGGGGATTAAGCCCAAAAATTTATTATTTGGGGCCCCTTTTTTTTTTTAATTGGGGTTTTTTTATTAAACAGTTTTGTTTAAAGCATTTTTGCCCATTTGGGCCCGGCCCCAAAAAATTAATATAAATTTCTTTTTTCTATTTCTTTTCCCCCGTTTTCCCATATTTTAAAAAATTTAGGAAATTATTTTTATAAATTTTGGTGGCTTGTGGCCAAAATGTAGTTTTGCTGTTTCCATTTTATTTCAAAATTTAATTTCTTATTAAATTCAAGTAAAATTTTTTAATGTTAAAAGTTTAAAAATTCCCAAATAATTATAAGAAAAACCCGCCAATCTTTGCCCAATTTTCCCATAAAAGAAAAAATTTCATAGGCTTTAAGAATAAAGCAAGGTAACAAAGCATCTAAAATACAAAAGGCATTCATCCAAAAATAAATCAATACACTCATGCATAGACTGACACAATACAAAAGCCAAATTTAAACACATATCCATAATGTGAATTTCTTTATTCAGACTGATGACTCTTATTTAACAAAAATAAGGGAAGGCAACTTGCTTTTGATCAACATTTTTTAAAACCGAAGTCCCAATTTAACTCCAACGCTCCCTCAATAAAGTACATCTTCAATCTCTGTGTAAAGAGAGCATTCACATATATGCGCATTTCAATTACAAATAAATAATTAAAAATACTAATACTTTACAACATACAAAAAAGGGTTAAAACAAAGTAAACGAACCAATAAACTCAAATTGCATAATTAAAAATTGCCAATCAACATAAATAATGAGTTGGGTGGGCGGGTTTTCTTAAACTTGACAGCTAGACAACAAAGGCTCGAATGCCTAGTAGTACGAATTGGCGCGACAACAACCTAAAAATAAACGACCAATCAGAAAAAAGTTTACCAAAGTTTTAGGTATAAAATATATCTTTCATTTTGGTGTATTTCCTTCACATGTTTTACGAATTTTCGGAGTACCTCGCCGATTATTTATATCCGAAGTCAATAGCAACCTTTCAGCCCTTGCAAAGTTTAAATGGATACTAAGGCAAGTTAATGATAAAAATACTAAAATGATCTTATGTACTCAAATCACGCTAAAATGACTTTTTTTAAGTCCCATCATGAATTTCTGTATAAATTCTATACATGTATATTTTTGGTTTGAAACGTAAATATATCCATTTATTACATTCTTATAAATGAAATATTGAGAAATACCCCGGTGGAAATTGATGAAAATAAAATTGCCTATTTTTATTTTCCCCGTATTTTCACCTGTAAAATTTATTTTTCACTACAGTGTGAAACATATTTTCCGGTTTATTTTCACTGGTTGTCTTACCGGGACTACTTTCTTCTAAATTCAGCTTTAATGAACAAAAATTTAAAAGAGAATTCTTGCCTATTTCACATGAGGTTAAAGGAAAAAAAGTAATATAATAACAGAAATTCAAGTTTTTTCTATAAATACAGGATTTATTTTCATCTGTGTGTTATGAGATTTAGCATGATGAGCCGCTATGAATATCTTAAACATATTCTTGCAAACTATAGATAATGATTAAAAGATATTCGGCAAGATTACTGAATAGACACCCCATATTCTCAAATATTCCTGTTCTTTCTGACATGCATTATATGAGAAAGAAATAAAGTATGAAATTAAATTATATTAAACGTTCTAGTATCTTTTTTAAATTTAATTTTTACAACCCCTTTTTTTCCCAATAAAAATATTTTAAAACCTTTGACGTAAAAAACTAATAAAAATTGATTTTTTTTAAATTTTTCCTGGACATATACCCCAAAATGTGTTAGTTCTCCGGGGGTTTTTCCCAAAATAGAGAAAAAACAGAAAACCCCAAAGAAAACCCCAACACAAAAAAAATGGAAAAAATGTTTGCAGGGCCCCCAGTTTGATTTAAACCTTTCCCTGGACGGACCGGTAAGTGAACCTTCCGGTCCCCCCCCCCTAAACCCCCGGGGTTAAAGCCCCGATTCAAACATTTTAAAAACGAAAAAATTCGGGAAAAAGTTGGAAATTAAGAAACCCTTTCCCCTAAATGGTTTTTTATACGGCCCCGGTTTTTTCATTAACCCCCCAAATTGGCCCCCAGTTTGTGTCATTCCATTAAAAAGCGGGTTAATTTGGGCCCTAAAAAAAAAGAAAGAAGTTTTCCTAAAAAAGGAAAAAATGGGCCGGGAAATAAAAAAAATGCATTTTAAAGGGGTTTTCTGGTTTTGAAGTTAAAAAAAAGGGCATTTTGCCTTTTAAAAAGAAACAAAATAAAAATTTTCCTTTTTTTGAAAGGGCAAAATTGAAAATTTTATATTTTTATGTTTTTAGAATGGTTTTATTTCTTATTTAAAATAACTTAAAAATGTGAAATAATATCCTTTGACTGAAGTTATTGCTTAACAGCAACAGATGAAAAAATATGGTTCATGATTTTTGATCATTGAGTAGCTTTTTAAGTTATTCCTTAAGTACACCAAAATTATAAAGCTTTTGAGAAATAAAAACCAAAACATTTCTGTGGCATAATGAGCCATTGCAAATCTCCGTATATTTAAAATAATGTTATACTATATCAAAAAATGGTTCTTCCCCTTCGATTGGGAATCGCCCATGTAAATAAAAACGTTTGTTTTATATGTCAAGAATATTGGTGAGTTCAGTTATGTTTCTCTGCATTTTCTCTTCAGTTCATTTCCGAAATAAATTCCTGAGCGCTTGATATTTGTTTCCTTTCTTCTAACCGATTCTGAAATGTTCGGGCAACCACTCTCTCCCTCTTTGGTTAGTTTCTATTCAATTCAAATAATGTCGCATGAGTCACGTCACACTGTTTCCGTAAGTGGACCCGTCGACAATAAAACATTTTTGATATCCGTCCGTTTCTGTTTATTCATCAGTCATCCAAGTAAAATTTCTTTTTAAATGGCGATAAATATTTGTTTATATATTAGTTTTTTATATTATATGTGGAGGAGAAAAGATTTTTGTTGTTGTTCTTGTCAGGATAATCCGACATTGTTTTAATGAATAAAAAATAGAAAAGCATGTTCTTTTTCTCATGCTTCTATACAGATAGAAATTATCTTTATCTTTTCCCAAACTGCAACCAAAACAAGTGTAAAAGTAATGTGTCAAATTATTTTGAGTCAAAGTACGATTAAAACATAATGGCCCAGTTGTTCAAAACTTTTGTTAAATATTTAACAATGAAATCATTGTTAAATTTACAAAATAATGTTAAAACATTGTTATCGTTAAATTTGTGTTAAAATAACAAAGTGTTGTTAGTTTTTTTTGTTAAATATCTTTGTTAAAAAATTAGTTGTTCAGAAAAAATACCCTTATCGTTTTGTTAAAACATCAGCTTTAACAAAGATTTAACAACAAAATTAATTCAACTCCATAGATGAATTAATTTTATCGTTAGTGGCATAGAAAATTGCTTGTCCCTTTGCTTTACCCCCAGTCACGTTTAACATTCTAACACAAATTGCACATCATTCTTAATCATAAAAAAAATTGTTAACAATTTACACAGAAATTTAAGAAAGTCCCATTTACTTTCAAGTGCCATACTGATAAACAAGTTTTAAAGTAATCAGTATTAAAATCATCTTTTAAATTCAACATGAACAAACATAAATATATTACTGCCTGTGATTTAATTGACTTTCGAAACTTCACTACACTTTAACAAATGTAATTAACTTATTCTACCTAATTTTGGATCATTAGAGTAATAAGCCAACAACATATTGTACTGCCAGTGTAAAACCATATATAGGGATGATTTCCAAAATTTTAAACACCATTTGGTTTTCCAAAACCCTTCAAACTACCCCTGAAAATCAGTTTGGTTTTTGGTTATTGAAAATTTTTTTTTGTCATTTTTAAATCTTCATTTTTAAATATTTTAAATAAAAAATCCCCTCAAACCTCCCCAAAAAAAAAAAATTGTAAAATGGGGTTTTTACGGGTGAAAATTTGGGTAGTATTATAAAGTAAAAAAACTGCCATTGAACTGCAATGGTTAAACACTGATAACTAACTGAATTTTCACTGACAATATTCACACTTAAAGTTACTTAAAGAGTATTGTATTACGTTTACCATACTGTTATCTTATACTGTTGTTTTGGGTATATTATTATAACATATATTATCATATCATTTAGATAATATATGATATTGTTTCCTAAAGTCATATTTTGGGGATTCATAATCATCTAAAAGGACAACTCCTGGGGTACTGAATACCAGTTGCCCTTCCCAAATTCTTTAGAACAAGAACTGATCAGTGATGTTTGAAAAGTGTTTAACTTCCTATTATTTTTACTATAGTCTGTCGCATCAACTTTGAACAATTATATTCATCTTTTACCCAATGTGAGAGTAGATTAAGTCACCTAAATTGATGTTATGTAAACCCTGGATTCATAAATGAAGTTCGTCAAAGTACGAGTTAAAATATAATGTTTATTGATTCACCGTTTCACAAAATGACGTCTGTTGCGGAAAGACCGTCACGACGTCCCATAATGCTACATTATGATTGGACGGCGCATTCATTGATTGTGACGTAACAAACAGAACGTAGTAACCGCAATTGAAATGTCGCACACTTACAGTGCAGACGAAAATATTTGCTATTAAAAGTTATTAAGAGGCAAAAATTACCTGGAAAATGGAGAAAAGTTCGCAAAATGATAACCCACGTGTAGCTGAAAGCACATTTAAAGGTAGGTTTTCAATTATTATCTGAATTATCGTTGTAAAAAGAAATCACTCCGTTAGTTTAATTTCTCATTTCGTTTAGAAGTTTTATAAATAAAACTTATATGGACTGCTCAGAAGCGGAAACGTTTAACGATTTTGAAGCAGTAAGACATTTTCAAAATTAAGGTTTTCTGTCGACTTTCCATTCATTTAATGACAGATTAAAAATGTCTATATGCATGTGATATAAACCGCCAAAAATATGAACGAGCTTTTTTTATGAAAATAAGGACTGACGTTAAAGAGCATAATATTAAACAGTATGTAATGAAATATTTTAAAAAAATAAAATTTATAATTAAAATTGATGAATGGTAAAAAATTTTAAGTTTGTTTTAAGCCAAATTCTTGGGGAAAAAAATGAAGTAAAAAAGGGAATGGTCTTCTGTATATTAACACATATTGGGAACATAGTAACGTAAACAGAAAAAATTATGGAACGGAGTAAAACATTTACAGTGCTATTTCAAAGTAGGGGTTTTAATGTTTAGCAACGACTTCATGTATGTGCCATTCAAAAGGTATTTTTATACAGGTATTTTAATAGCATTTAATTTTGTATACTACAGACAGCAGATATTTAGCTTTAATCACTTTGAAAATAAATTTCAAATATATCGGTCATGAATGTGGGTTGGTATAGGAGGGAACAACTGTTTCTATATAAATTCCCACGAAAATTAACGCGGGCTGTTAAAAGCATTTGGCAATCAAACTATATAGGAAAACACTTTGGCCCTCCTATACAATCCAAAGTTCTTTCCTAGGAATATTAATAGAAACATTGGCATCTTTACCAAGTCCGCCATTAATAAAACTTTGGTAACTAAATGTAATCAAATTGTTTCAAAATATCGACTAAATAGAATAAGAGGCCCTTAATATGTATTTTTAAATTATAATTAACTTTATAAAAGAAACTCTGGAAAACATTTATAACCCGTCTTCAATGTCAGTGTTAAATAAAAAAAGTTTCCAAAATTATAAATACGCTACTATTTTTTTCAAATTCTTTTTTTTTTCTTACAGATATCCTCATTAGTCCAAACAATGATGACGTCATCATTCCAACCAGTGCAACGTTCGACAAAGCTGTATTACACATTGGTATAGGAAACGGATGTGGTATATTTATAGAGAAGTTTGGTGTGAAGAATGACAAAGAGTTGAAAACTTCAGTGAAATATGCCACCCGAAAGTTCACAGACGCCCGTAATCAAAGGAAAAACAAAGGTAAAAACCTAAAAGCAAGAAAAGTGAAGATATTGAGAAGATTGTAGATGAAAGTGGTGAAAAGTTTACAAGAGACATTCCAAGTATGGAAGACATTGAAAGACAGCTGGCTAAGCTAGTCGGACCATCTTTTGGATAAGTCACCAATGGAAACCAAAAATGCTAAAAATACAATGTCAGACACTAAACCTCTGAAAGAAAACAAATCTTTAAATATCGAAAGTGACATTAGTGCCACTGATAAAAGTATTCAATCTACGATAGGGACAGTTTTCACATCTGACATCAAAAGTGACGAACGTCGAGAACCAAGGCATGAAAAAGAAATTGCTAAAAGTACTACACCAGGTTTTGATGATCAAACCATTGCTGGGACAAATATGAAGATTCATTTGTATAAGCTTAATGAACACGTTTTAAAGCAGAGAAGACAACTTTATTTGAAACCATTGATAAAGCTTATCAGGAGGAAATGTTACAGATTGCAATTGATAAAGAGGCAGGTATCTATAAACCAACTAACATTTGGCCATCAACTGAAAGAGGATCAAGTTTTCCACTTGAAGAAGATATGCATGTATATCTGGATGAAGTTTTTGTGTAATACCAAAACGAGGCTCTGAAATGTTTGATGAATATGTGTCTGTTAGCTGCAGAGAAGAGAAGAAAAGGCGAACAGGAAGATGTACCCGAAAGCGATCCGACGAGTGCTGTTGTAGATATAGCGAAAGATTACACAGTTGCAGACAGCAATGTGTTTGAAGACGTTCTATTTAAAGACCAAAGTGATCCAATTTTATCTGATACAATTGTAGATAGAGCAGCCGATAACGACAGCGATACATCATATGTAGTCCGGATACGTTTGGTAACTTTCTAGATATAGGGTCAGGTGATTCAAGAGATAGATAAAATGAGTTGATGAAAGTAGAAGTCACACACTAGATGTGTCTTGAAATAGAAGCGATGAGAAATTCTTTGACATAACAGAATAGTTAAATGACATTTGTAGACTCGAAGCAATAGTTCTCAAAGATGCTCAAGATAATTTGGCATAAAGAAACCGGGAATGACTTTGAGGGAAACATATTTTACATACAAGATATTTTTGAGATGATGAAACCTTTTTGGGGTATATGAACCCTCTACAAAAGAGTGATCTACACTTGACTTTACAAATAAGTACTTTGCACACTAATTTTTATTTTTTAATAAGTTTTAATTTTAAAGCATTTGAATTTTTTCCCAGCAACCGTTTTCATACCGAGCACAAAGAGTCACAATATTTTTTATTTTATCAAGGTGGGTTTATTTTAATTTTTTATTTTTTTTTTTTTTATTTAAATACCGCATACCAGCACTTTCTTTAAAAAAAAAAACTTAATTATTTAACCTTTTTAAAAAAAAAAATTCATATTTAACAAATTTTTAATAAAATACATATAAAAGTATCATAAAAAAGGTATGTTTTACAAAGATAGCCTGGGGCGAATTAGATAATTATTAGAGATCCCGGGAAATTTACCACTCCACATCGTTCGGAAAAAAACCGTGATTGTATTACACATACAGAGTCCCCTTTCCAAAAAGTAAAAAAATTTTTTTTAAATAATGTTTAAAAAATGTAACTGGTCTAAATAATAATAATAATAATAAAATAATAACTTAAGCTTAAGTGTGTATTTAAAAAAAAATGATTTTTTCCCTTTTTGCATAGATTTTTTATAAAAGTTTTGTTTTTCCACATTTTTAAGTTAAATAAAAATGTCAAAGTCAAGTTAAAACCAATATACCCATAATCTAAAAAGGAGGGGTTTTCCAAAGTTTCTGACAAAAAAGTGCTCGAATAAAGGTTATTACTTTTTTTTGGGAACGTTGTTATTCATTAAAGAGGGTGTAAAGCCATTTTTCCACGTATACTTTACCCATGCACCTTTTCTTATGCATCTTGATTTCCCTTTTAAGACGTACAATCACCATAATAAACGTAATATTTATCTGACGATATTCATTTCTAAAAATAAAAATCGAATGACCATTTCTATTTATAATTTTGTAAAATATATAGTAAATTATATATGCAAAAATTGTTTGAAATATCGGGGTGACCCGAAGCGTAGGGGGATAAATCTACTTTTTCATTGAGACTAAAGCGCAGGCTCTGTCGGGGGGGGGATGCTTCGGTTGATCCGTGCAGAACCCTACTTTAATTCGATACTCACCCTTTTTTTCTCCCCTTTAAAAAAAATTAAGTCATTCACTTTTTTAACATACATTATATATTTCTCACCTTTTTTCTCGCCTTAAAAAAAAAAAGTCATTCACTTGGTTTAAAAAATAATAATTTTATTTCAGTATAAATACTAGCATATTTTTTTGTACTTTTTTATAAATGTAAAAAGGGCCCCTATTGTTTGTTTTTTATTAATTTGTCAAGGGGTAAGCAATTTTTTAATCGGGCATTTTTGAACTATGATTTTTTTTATGTTGTGTTTTTTTTTTTGTTTGTTTGTTTTTTGTTTTTTTTTGTTTGTTATGTTTACACTTTTTTTGGTAATCTAAATCATTTTAAAAGTTAATTCTAAGCTTAAATGCATCTTTGGGTCTATAACCCGGGTAAAGGGCCTATAAAGGGGTTGGAAATCAAATCTAAACAATTCATACCCCAATGCATACGGGGGGGCCCCCAAAAACCACGTAAAAGGCCTGTCAATATCTAACTCAAATAAAAAAACTATAAGAAGCCTCAAGTAAACATGAGGGCCCCAACCCCCCGGTAAAAAAACCAAATAAAAGGGATTTGATACCCCCCTTTTCCCTTATATACATTTAGTTTTCCCCACAGAAAAAAAATGTAATATCTAATAAAAAAACTTTCAAAGTTTTTTTCCGGATAAAAAAGTTTTTTATTTAATAATTTTAATTTTTTATTTCCTTCCCGGGCCCTTTTTAAAGAAATATTTTATTCGAGGCTCTTTTTCACGTGCGTAAGAAAATTTTGAATTCCCACATAGCAAAAAGAGATAGGTTAAAATTCACTGGGTTCTTCCGCGGACCAAGCGAAGCTTTCCGGGGCAGAATCAACTCTTATGCAAGATAAATCAATTTTTTATCCCCATAGGGGGTAACTTTTAATTTTTATGAAATTATTGTTTTAAAGCCTCACATCTATAAATAAAAAATCAAAAATTACCATTTCTATTTTTAGATTTTTCTAAATATAATATAAATAATTTTATGCAAAAATTTTGTAAATATCGGGGTAGGGTAAGGTTGGAAAAAATCTACTCTTTCATCTAACTAAAGCAGCATGGGCTCTGTCGCGGGGACCCGGGAAAAACCCTCGCTAAAATTTGACATCTCCCCTTTTTAAAAAAAAATTTAAATCATTCACTTTTTTTGACAAAATATACAAGTATATTTTTTCAGTATAACATATCTAAATTTTTATTCTTACTGATTTTATATAAGATTTTAAAAAAAAGGTTTATTGTTTTTTTTTATTAATTGTCAAAACTGTATACTATTTCAGCTTAATGCATCTGGTAAGTTTGCGAGATTCGTTTAATTTTAAATCACACCTTTTTTACGAAAAAACATACTGTTAAAGTATAACTTAAAAACAGATTCTCCCATTGTGAGAAAAAATATTACTTTAAAGTATAGACTATAATACAGAGTTGCCTCCCCATTTTTTTGAAAAAATAACAGCTTTTTTTTTACGTTTGTTTTGAAAAAATGAACCAAAATTCTACTTTTTATTTTCTATTTATTCAAAATAAAAAGCCATGCCATGGACTGATTGTGGCTTTTTCTGTGAAAACAAAGCTCCCAAAAAACCTGCGTAAAATTTTAAACGGGATAAGTTTTAAATTTTTAATTTACGGTAGGCCGAAAAAGTCTCCTTTTAAAAATTAAAACATTTTATATAGAGAAAAAAACAAAATCACCCATTTATAAAACGACCTTTTCCCTGGCCCCAGTCCGACGGAAAAATTTTTTTAAAACCCCTTATTGGTAAATAAAAATCCCTTTTTTATAAAAATCCCGTACCGGGTGTTTCTTTATAAGGGGGAAAATTTTTTTATTTAAGTGTTTTTTTTTTTTACCAAAATAAAATTTACCTTTTCAAAAATTCAATACACAATTTCGGGGTGATCCCGATTGCCAACCTTGTAAAGAGGCCCCCCTTTTCATAAAAAAAAATGTTTCTTCAAAAGAAAGAATTTAAAATTTTTCCCCTTTTATAATCTAAGGGGGCACCCCAGGAATTCACGTTTAAAAAAATTTGTGTGTTGCAATTTTTTTTGAACAAAATTCCCGTAGATTAATTTTTTTTAATTTTTTTTTAAACCATAATTGGGGGAATTTTAAAAACATTAATTCATTCTGTCCCGAGAAATTAATTCTTTTTTGCCTATTTCGTCCTATAATTTTTTTAGCACTTTGAATAATATATCAGTTTTCAAAGGGAAAGGGGGTTTTCCCATTGGTTTTCATGACTACCCCTAAAAAAAACCCTTAAAATGAAAAACAAAAAAAAAATAAAAAAATACCGGTTAGGAAAAAGAAAAAACCATAAAATTTTAAATTTTAATAAATTTTTTTAAAAAAAATAATTATATCATTTTTAAAGTACCCAGAAAAACATAACGAGTAATTTTTAATTTTCTTTTCTAAAAATTGCATAATGGGGAATTTCCCGGTACTTTCTTAAAATGTAAATTTAAAAAACCCCTTTTTTTTAATCCAGAAAAAAAATTTCAAATTTAAAAATTTTTGTTTTAAAAAAAATGTTAATAATTAATTAACAGCCCTTTGACCCCAAACCCTCCCCCAATTACTTTTCCCCCTTCTTTTTTCCTTACAAAAAAGGAAAAGAAAAAATCCCAAATAACGAAATTGGACACATCTCCTAGTGGGTACCAAAAACCAATATTTTTAAAATTTAAAAAAAAAGACAAAAAGAAATCAAAAGGGATAGTTAAAACCCGGGGGACCGGGGCCCTGCTTCTTCCATTTCTAAAAATCAACTTTCGGAATCCATTGGGGGAAAAAAACGAACAGTAAAGGAAAAAAAATTCAAGAAAAGGAAAACCCATATCATAAACCAAAAAACGCTTTTTTTAAAAAAACCCAAAGACGGGTTTAAAAACACGAAAAACTACGCCCTTAAAAAAAAGACAAACACCCAAAACAACTTTGAAACTTGCAGGAACCCACCCCTAATTTCAAAACCAATTGCTCACCCTTTTTAAAGGGGGGATTCACCCAAACTTGATATTGTAGTTTTTTTAAAATCGGCTCTCTTTGAATGCTTTTTTGTAAACATACAAGGTAACTTACCCTTTGGAATTTTTTTTAAACAGTTACAAGACGAAATGAAAAACCCAAAAACTTTTCGTTTTAAAGATGGGAAAAAAAAAAAAAAAAGACCGGAGACAAGACATTAAATCTACAGAGACGATATACCCTAGGTAAAAACTTACGGCAAAACCCCTTGCCTATAGCTTCTGTTGGCCATTTGGTTTTCCCATAAGTACAGTTTTTCTGCAACTGTTAACAATTAAACGCAACCTTCCTCCTTTTACACGGGTTAGGGCCCTCGTAGCGGGGTTAAAATTTTTTTAAAAATAGCAGACCGGGCACAAAGCGACCACAATAGAGACCTTAAGTTCACTTCTGTGACCCTTTTTAAGATAAAGGTACTAAAACCCCCCAAGGGATTGCTTGTCATTCACCCCCGTCGGGGGCGGTTAAAAGCCCGAATAGAAACAACGACCGGGCATGATCTTTTCAAAATTTTATGCGGTTTTTCTCCCGCTATACATGTCGCTCTATGATAACAATA